GTTTTAGAACGAGACCCCCTCGACGGTCCGTCGTGCCCATGACGGTCCGTCGTCTCAGCCAGTTTTTCCAGAAATAAATCGGCTGCTCAAAACGACTAAACAGGTCGTTACAATATATACCAATTTACCCATCGTTCGTCCTCGAACGATCACAAGAAGAAAAACAAGGGCGAAAAGGAGTACCTGAATCTGTGAACAGGTGTAGGTATCTTTCTTGCATATCAGCCTCTTTCTCCAAAGTGGATTCTTCAACCGGCCGATTCTTCCATTGAACTTTGATAAATGCAATTTCCCTAGACCTCAACTTGCGAACTTCTCTATCTAAAATAGCAACAGGCTCCTCTTCATAACACAAATTCTCATCAAGCAAAACTAAATCCCAAAGAATAATTTAGTTACCATCCCCATGGTATCTTTTCAACATAGACACATGGAATACCGGATGCACCCCTGACAGTCCTGGGGGCAAGGCTAATTCATAAGCTACCTCCCCCACGCGCTTCAGAACTTCGAAGGGACCAATATACCTCGGGTGTAAGCTTACCTCGCTTACCAAACCGCATCACCCCTTTCATGGGTGAAACCTTCAGCAAGACTTGCTCACCTTCCATAAACTCCAAGTCTCTAACCTTCCGATCTGCATATTCTTTCTGCCTACTTTGAGCCGCTAAAAGCTTTTTCTTGAATGCATTTCACTTTGTCTAAGGATTCCCTCAGAAGGTCAGTACTCCAAGGTCTAACCTCAAATGCATCAAACCACCCAATGGGAGACCTACATCTTCTCCCATACAGTGCCTCAAATGGGGCCATATCGATACTTGAGTGATAGCTATTGTTGTATGTGAACTCCGCTAAGGGTAAGAAGTTATCCCAATGGCCTCCAAATTCTATCACACATGCACGAAGCATATCTTCCAACACTTGGATCGTTCGCTCAGACTGACCATCGGTCTGAGGGTGAAATGCGGTACTAAGATCCAACCTAGTACCCAATTCCGCATGCAATGTTTTCCAAAACTTAGAAGTAAACTACGTACCTCTATCTGATATAACGGAAAGTGGAACTCCATGCAATCGCACCACTTCCGAAATGTAAAGTTTGGCTAACTTCTCTGCATTGTAAGTCACCTTGACACGAATGAAGTGAGCAGACTTAGTTAACCTATCAACAATTACCCAAATGGAGTCATACTTACCCATTGTCTTGGAAAGACCAACCACGAAGTCCATTGCAATTCTTTCCCACTTCCATTCAGGAATGGGCATTCTCTGAAGTGTGCCTCCAGGCCACTGGTGTTCATACTTTACTTGCTGACAATTTGGACATTTGGTAACAAACTCCATAATGTCACGCTTCATTCTACTCCACCAAAAATGTTGCTTTAGGTCACGATACATCTTGGTTGCACCAGGATGTATAGAGTACCTTGAACTATGAGACTCTGTCAGAATAGTGTTGATCAAATCATCAACGCGGGGTACACATACCCTTCCCTTGATTCTCAAAACACCTTCCTCATCGATTGTTGCTTCTTTAGCCTCTCCTCGCAACACTTTATCTCGGATCCGGATCAATTTCTCATCATTAAACTGTTTCCCTTAATATTGTCAAGAAAGGAAGATCTTGCCTCCACACAAGCCAACAATCCTCCTTTCTCATTTACCTCTAACCTCATAAAGTCGTTAACCAGAGTCTGAACCTCTCTAGCCAATGGACGTCTAGAAACCTGCAAGTGGGCTAGACTTCCCATGCTCCCTGCCTTTCTACTTAAGGCATCGGCCACAACATTAGCCTTTCCCGGATGATACAAGATAGTGATGTCATAATCCTTCAGTAGTTCCATCCACCTTCTCTGTCTTAAATTCAAATCTTTCTGAATAAAGACATACTGTAGGCTACGATGATCCGTGTAGACTTCGCACTTAACCCCATATAAATAATGTCTCCATTGCTTTAAAGCAAACACTACCGCAGCCAACTCCAAATCATGGGTCGGATAGTTACGTTCATGCACCTTTAATTGCCTCGAAGAATAAGCAATTACATTCTTCTCTTGCATTAGCACTGCACCCAAACCCGAATAGGATGCATCACAATAGACAATGAAATTCTTACCTTCCACGGGCAAAGTGAGAATTGGTGCAGTAGTCAATAAAGTCTTGAGCTTCTGAAAGCTTTCTTCACACTCGTCCAACCATACGAATGGAACATTCTGTTTAGTCAAGCTTGTCAATTGGGAAGCAATAGAAGAGAACCCCTTGACAAATCGGCGGTAGTAGCTAGCTAAACCAACAAAGCTCCTTACTTCTGACACATTAGTAGGTCTTACCCAATTTCTCACTGTTTCAATCTTAGATGGATCCACCATCACTCCATCCTTAGAAACCACGTGTCCCAAGAAGGACACTGAATCTAGCCAAAACTCACACTTGGAGAATTTGGCATAAAGCTTTTTCTCCCTCGACATTTCCAATACAATTCTCAAGTTCTCCTCATGTTCCTTCTTGCTCTTTGAGTATACCAATATATCATCGATGAATACGATGACAAAAAGATCCAGATATGGCTTAAAAATCCCATTCATCAAGCTCATGAAAGCAGCAGGGGCATTCGTAAGCCAAAAGACGTTACTAAGAACTCATAATGCCCATACCTGGTCTGAAAAGCAGTCTTGGGCACATCCGTTGCCTGTATTTTCAATTGATGGTAACCAGATCTAAAGTCGATTTTTGAGAAAGTACAAGCACCTTGTAACTGATCGAACAAATCATCGATGCGAGGAAGAGGATAATTGTTCTTAACTGTTACCTTATTCAGTTTTCTGTAGTCTATGCACATCCGAAAGCTTCCATCCTTCTTCTTCACAAACAATACAGGAGCACCCCAAGGAGATGCACTTGGTCTAATGAAGCCCTGGGCTACTCAGACTTCACCCTAACAGTCACTTTCCATTTACCCCACCCCCAACAAAAAAGCATGCAATTGTCCCCAATGCATAAAAAAAATCTAAAGATTAGAGGGGTAGGTGAAGCAAACCTGTGGCGCATAGCGCCGTCGATCAGCAAGCTGGTGGGTTCGGTTTCCCAGAACCTACATCCTCTGCAATCAGGACACCCTCATTGGTGTCCTCAGCAATCTGGACACCCTCAGTGATGTCCTCAGCAATAATCGCACCATCAGTAGTGCCTCCTGCTGTCTCTACAGTGCGGGAGCTAGACGCCCCAGCCGCTATCTGCGATGCTCTGATTTGGTGTGCCTCCGCCTCAGCAAGTGAGGCTCTCCTCGCGGCCTCCATCACTTGGCGCTCCTTCTTCCTTGCTCGCGCCTCATCCTCTGATCGATCCCTACGCCTCTTGGCACTCTCTCGAGGGGAAGGTGGGGGAATTTCTGAAGTAGCAAACAGGGCCGCCAATATAGTGTCCTCAACAGGCTCGACAGGCTCCGGCACTCTCGCCTCTAGGATCGTGTCGATGTCTGCATGAAGACTGTCGAGTGCAGCCTGAAGAGTCGACACATCTACCGGAGGGGCTGGGCGGGCTAACACTCTCAACTCAAATGCATCTAGGCGCTGGTGAACCTCAGCAATCTTCTGCTGCATCTTCCTCTCCATACGTGCTTCAGACTCAGTAATAGACTTCTGCATCCACAGCTGGATATGATGCAGAAGGGTGACCATTTGTGCCTCCAGTTTTTGGACCCTAGCAAGCGGGGCCAGTAACGGTAGAGGGGCTGTACGAGAGGAGCTCGGGGTTGGGCTACTACCCGGGATAGACTCGACCGGGGTAGTGTCAGTGGACGCCTGTGTAGCGGTGCGGGCCTGGGCCACCGTATCCGCAAGATCATCAGCAAGTGGTGGCAGCTCTGGACGGGTGGGGCCAACTCATTGGCCTCGTCTCTGATGAGGCCGATGTCAACGGTGCCCTGCGAGGTCTTTAACTGATCTATGTGCCATATGGGCACACCTGTGGTCCTGCAAAGGGCAAAAATCATACACGGGAAGGGGTAGGTAGTAGTGACCTTGAATGCCCTCTCGTGCATGCCTGCCTGGAGAAGCCATGCGAAGTCGACCTTGAATCCGGCTATCATCGCTGCTATCAACATTGCTCGATCCCAAGTGACGATGTTATCAGCAGCTGTGGGGGAAAGGCAGTGACGGACGAGCAGTCACAAGAACTTCGCGAAGAACGTGAGGTTGGCCTTCTTGATGGCCCCCTTCGGCTCAGTGACCCAATCTGCACCCTCTCCATCGACTGATAGGTGCAGGGCCATCCACCTCTTGGTGGTCTCTCTCAGTGCCTGCTCGCGCAAGAACTGTCCATCCTTAACTATCTGCCAGCGGTAGTCAAACTCGGCAGTGTGGGGAGTCCGCGTAGCATCTGCACTCTCGCCGTATAGGGACCGGCGGATAGCTGACAGGGAAATGTCAACCTGCACACCCCGAACTCGAACCTGCTCCAGTGGGGCCTGTTTAACGGGAGCAGCCCTCCTATCTATATATGATCGGAGAGTCGCCACGTAGGATGCGTAGAACTCTCGGACCACTTCCTCGTTGTATCGTCCCAACGGACGGGCTTTCCACTCTAAGAGATGCCTGGTGAAGAGGTTGTGGATCTCCGGCATCGATGGGAGACTCCCTGTAAGTACCCGACGTTCCAAGGTGAGTGTCCGAGTCATTACTCCTTTATCAGTCAGGAATTTGGCGTCGGAGTAAACTTGAAACTGGCCTTCGACGCACCACCGGTTTGGCTGGTCAGAGGCTGGGGTGGGGACTTGGGCTGGTGCGCCGGATGTAGAGTCTGAACTATCAGCCTCATCAGACGAGGCCGACGCTTCAGCAGTGGCGGGTGCGGGAACCTCAGCAGAGCCTGAAGCTTCCTCGGACCAGGATACTCCTAAAGAGCCAGACGCTCCTTCCTCATTTGTGGCTGACCCAGAGGGTGTGCCGGTCAGTGTGAGCTCCTCATCAGACTAGGAGGCAGTGACTACGCCGGATGCCACCGTCTTGGGTGTGGCTCTGGGGGCACGTGCAACACGGGAAGGTGCGGAAGTGCCTGGGGCACATATTCAGGGTCTCGCTCATCATCAGAGCCGATGATCAAGCGTGCAGACGGGGCAACAGACTTGGATCGCTCGCGTGCGTAGGCTCGGTCTTGCTTGGGTGCCATAGTAGATAGTACCTGCAAAGGATCACTATTAGTACGAGTAGTGTCAAACAAGACAGGCAAGCCTATACAAAATAAAACATTTAAAATAGTGTGTTAGTGATAGTGAAACTGTATCACACGACGGGCTAGATGAAGGCTCTTCGTGGATATAACGGACCGTCATGAGGTCCGTCGTGTTGTACTTGGTCTATGTATATATAAAGAACCCTGAAGGAGGGGTCTCTGACCATCATGACGGTCAAGCAGGACGGACTGTCGTTGGTACGACGGTCCGTCGAAAGAGTCCGTCGTAGGACACTTAGAAAATGCTAGGAGACTTTTATCATAGGGGTCTCTAACCATCATGACGGACAAGAAGGACGGACCGTCGTTGGTCGTAAGAGTCCGTCGTAGGACACTTAGGAAATGTTGGGAGACCCTGATCAGAGGGGTCTCTGACCATCATGACGGTCAAGCAGGACAGACCGTCGTAGGTACGACGGTCCGTCATAAGTGTCCGTTGTAGGACACTTGGAAATCTAAGTGTTTTGGAACGAGACCCCCTCGACGGTCCCTCGTGCCCATGACGGTCTGTCGTGGGATCCGTCGTCTCAGCCAATTTTTCCAAAAATAAATCTGCTGCTCACAACGACTAAACAGGTCGTTACAATAGATACCAATTTACCCATCGTTCATCCTCGAACGATCACAAGAAGAAAAACAAGGGCGAAAAGGAGTACCTGAATCTGTGAACAGGTGTGGGTATCCTTCTTGCATATCAGCCTCTTTCTCCCAAGTGGATTCTTCAACCGGCCGATTCTTCCATTGAACTTTGATAGATGCAATTTCCCTTGACCTCAACTTGCGAACTTCTCTATCTAAAATAGCAACAGGCTCCTCCTCATAAGACAAATTCTCATCAAGCAAAACTGAATCCCAACGAATAATATAGTTTCCATCCCCATGGTATATTTTCAACATAGACACATGGAATACCGGATGCACCCCTGACAGTCCTGGGGGCAAGGCTAATTCATAAGCTACCTCCCCCACGCGCTTCAGAACTTCGAAGGGACCAATATACCTCGGACTAAGCTTACCTCGCTTACCAAACCGCATCACCCCTTTCATGGGTGAAACCTTCAGCAAGACTTGCTCACCTTCCATAAACTCCAAGTCTCTAACCTTCCGATATGCATATTCCTTCTGCCTACTTTGAGCCGCTAAAAACTTTTCTTGAATGCATTTCACTTTGTCTAAGGATTCCCTCAGAAGGTCAGTACCCCAAGGTCTAACCTCAAATGCATCAAACCACCCAATGAGAGACCTACATCTTCTCCCATACAGTGCCTCAAATGGGGCCATATCGATACTTGAGTGATAGATATTGTTGTATGAGAACTCCGCTAAGGGTAAGAAGTTATCCCAATGGCCTCCAAATTCTATCACACATGCACGAAGCATATCTTCCAACACTTGGATCGTTCGCTCAGACTGACCATCGATCTGAGGGTGAAATGCGGTACTAAGATCCAACCTAGTACCAAATTCCGCATGC